CAGTGGTTCGAATCCCGTACAGGCCTGAAAATTTTTTTCAGGTCTGATTTTCACTATTGCTCAAATAGTGCTTTACTGCGAAGGATCGTTCTCATATACGTCTCATAACCGCAGTTCACACATATGTTTCATATGTTTGTTGTTGTTTAACATATGCATTGATGTTTTTTTTGTCAAGATTTGGTACTTTTATCGGTCCAAGAGTTTTCAATTCGTGGCGCGACGCTCCGAGATTCGTCTGAAATTTTGAGCTTCAAAAGCGGCATTTTGGCGAAACTCAGTTATTATCAATTTTCTCGAAAATAAATCGATATTCAGCCAAACGAAGTATACATCGCTTTGTTTCACCATAAGGCCTACCAAACTTGAGAATATGAGCCGAATCGATTTTTTGGCTGTTGCCACCAAAGGTTTGACCATTGGTAACATTTGCTCTTAATAACTTCCGTATTCTTCTTCCCATCCTCCAACAAACGAGAACTTTCAATGATTTTCCTTAGACGTTTTGATAACGCGTAGCCAATTCTAAGGCAGTGACAATCAGAGGTGTTCATTATTTTAAAGAGTTCAGAGCGTACATGTATGAAACACTCATGTTTTTGGTAAATGCTCTATGAATAAGCACACATACTGAAAAGTTGTGTCATTTGAATTTGGTTTCTTTAATGTGATAGTTAGATTTGGTAATTTGAACACCCATTGAAAGTACCAGCCTAGCTGATAATGCTTCATATTCGTTTAGTATAATTATGTGCAGAAAGTTTCGGTAAAGTGTACCTGCATGTATATTGTGCACAGACCCATCACTTTTGGAGTGAATATTTATTAGCTCAATGATTTGATTCTTTTTTCTCTTGCAGTGGAAGCATCCTTCGACGCAATCACCAGTTTACTCAGTGTGTGATATTTCCGTCAAGAATGAGGAACCAAAGAACTGGTTAAGAACAGAATATATTAACATCAAGGATGCTACACGACTCGATATTGAAGTCACCTACGCCTTTCTTAACTGTCCTACAGCTAACGTGGCGCCATTCTGCAGAACAGACTTCATTCTTTATTCTTATCATGCGGATTACAAATTACATCCTGATCCAGATCCAACAAACTTAAAGTTCCACAAAGAAACTGTTGTAACTCCAAAAACTCTTCCAAGTAAACGCCCAATAGTCACATTTTATGGGTCAGTAGTAACAAAAGCAAAGGGAATTTATTTGGCATTATTAGACCAAGGAGGCTGCTTGAGAATAGATAAGTTTGTTGTAAGGTATCGTTTCTGCTCTGAAACGGTCGCTCCTCTCGTTAGATTTTCAAGAACAACTGCCCCTGCAAATGATATCAATTCAACCAAACATGAGGGAGAATGTACAGATCCTAACTCACTTAAAGGAAACGGCCAAAAGATATACGGCGTGTGCCTTAGTAATGGGGAGTGGGACATAACAGATAACTCAGCTTGCCTTTGCAATTATGGTTATGAACTAATCAATGGATCTTCAGACTCTTTTGTATGCAAAGGTTAGTGTTGCACTTAAAACTTGGATTTGCATCTAAAGATTAGCATCCAAGATGAATACTTAATCATTTAAATGGTTAAACATTTGAATGACCACCCCGTTTGTCCGTCGTTTGATAGAAAGCTTATGAAAGGTTTGATCTCTAATTGACATGGACTTGTACTTCTTAGTCATACTTTAAATGTTCACATAGATTCTATCGGTGCACAAAGATAAATGGCCTGGGACGTAAGACCCAAAAACATAAAGTTCCTTTTTGCAAAGTACCTTTAGCAAAGTACCGTTTCGTTTCACTTCCTCTTGTTTTTTTTTTCGCAGATAGATGCATTTATCTCATTTACGTTCTTCGTTTTCGGGTCTTTGTTTTCAGGTCTTAGTTGTTTGGTCGGAGAACCTCAGGCTAAGTTAATGTACATATGTTGTTTAATGACCTTAGTGATAGTCATTATGAGAGTCATTAGGAGTGAAGACAAAAAGAGTTGTCTTGGTTACAAAGCCTCTGATAATGACTAGTGCCAGAGTTATCAAATATGTCTAAGTTTCTATTAAGTTTCTATCACAGACATTAGTCATTTGCATAGCAGGACTTATTTTGGTCTTGGAAAGCACATCTAAGGGTCATTGCATTAATGTGTTCTGAGGAAAAGGCATGTCGATGATATTGCACATTGTTTCTATTTAGGGTGTCAGAAAGGCTTTTACAAGGATTCTGTTGGTAACGAAAAATGTGTACCTTGTCCTTCAAATTCAGCATCTAATATTGACAAAACTGGTTGCATTTGTAATGAAGGTTACTACCGATCATCTGATCTGGCAGATTGTGAAGGTATGTTAATTATAAATAATAGTGTCGTCCCAATCATTACCGAGTGATAAAAGATCTAGCTAATGCCTGAAGAGAATCATCTCGAGATTTTCCTAAAGAATTACAAACTTTTTAAAAAAACTAACTCCTTCATGCTTAAGATGTCGATCACGATGAGCTATTAGGACAAAGCAACCTAAATGTATCATGCATGGGAGTAGGAGAAAGAGACTAGACTGGTGTAGCTAGGTTAACGGCCTGTCCACCACATTTGTAACTTACTGCTGGTAAAAATCTCATGGAGTACCACTCTTGTTAGAAGATTTTTCCGAAATCAATCGTGTAGAAAGTCATACAGAGCTGGAAGAGTAGCTTCCCCTTAGGACTTGTAAAATCAAAGCTATTTGATGCGATTCCCAAAATATTGAGATCATGGACAATTGAAAATTTTCTTGGCTAACCCGTCAGATGTTTGAACCATTAAGGGAAAATGGTGGCCCAGTGGTCCTTTCTTAAATATTTGATGATGGTATTTCTGCTGTCATGCGGGAAATGAAGAGTAAAGCTTGATATACAAAGAATCCATCAAAATATCAAACAAATCTACGTTCATTTCTTTCTAATTGTGGTGTCTCTTACTTAAAATTCACAGTCTTGGCTAGAAATGTAATTAACATAACCATGGTCATCGCCAGTAAAAATCGTACTCCTGGAAAATACGACCAATCCTCATTACTGACGAGGCTCCAGGAAGTGGTAATCATTTTAATTAGAAGAGCATTTCTTTTTTCTCATGAAGAGATTACAATTTCTTGGGAATATACTAATTACTTGCGTTTCTGATGTTGCGGCATATTACAGTGCAAATCATGTAACTGCATTTTAGTTTTGGTTGCTGTTCAGTTGTTTTTGGCTACCAAGGAAAATAGAAACCTACTTTCCTCAACTCAAACACTCCAAGTGCACCTGCGCAGTGCTTTGATATGCAAGCTATAACGTGGTTTTCTAAAAGATGTTATTGATGACAAATGATGAAAATCTGTCGTTTTCGGCTAGTAAACATTCATATGTTTATCTGATTGTGTGCTCTTAAAAGGTGCTTGATGAACTCTTCGTTCAATTTCACTTTTCTGTTCCTTATATAGATGGAAGAGACTTTTTCCGGCCGATTTGCAGGTTTCAGAGGTGCACCGTTGAAAATTATGATTAGGTTTGTAAACTGCCTGGATCAGTGGATGAATCATAATATTCTAGTTTTTGATACACTCCACTTTATTCTGATCCTCGAATTTTGTCTTAACCAAGGTGTGGAAGTATAACTGTGGATCTAGCACTTGTATTCAATTGCAAAACAAAAGAGCAAGATGTTATTGCAGTACTTCGTAATGCTTCCAGCGATGGGAAGCTTGGAGACCTCACTGTGAGTGCTATAAAGAGAACCACAATTCGAGTTGATATCGAAACTGGAACTAATGAAGCAGGCACAGTAACCCAGCCACCCGGCAGTAGGTTTGAAGTCTCTTAATAAATAAGATGTAGTTGACTGATTTCAAGATTTCACAGAAATCTTAAATGCTTTTCAGTGAAGTAGTCAGTATGAATTGGAATTCAACGCAGTCAAAGGAAACACAAACACTTATTCACTCATATATACAAACATAAACTTTATTGAAGTGGCAAGGTATTTAGCTAAAAGCTAAATTGTAGACACTATAAATGAATAACATGAGTATAACATAAGATTAAATAAGATTAAATAGAGTATATGTAAAAATATTAAGGATATATTCTCAAAATAACATTAATATATATAAAAAGCATCAATATATAAAATTGTTACAGACAATCATATAAGTAGCAATAGAATGTATGTACAGAATTTAGAAAGTTAAAAGTCTAGATAATTTAAATAAGACGAATTAAATAGAGGATAGGGGAGCACTCTCCTAATACACCAGGCAGCCACACAGCAAAAGCCCCTAAGCATACCCACCTCTTTAAGAGGAGCATACACAGCAGCCACACGTGCCATCCAGGAAGCCAAGCACATTGAGAGCACGCACCCCTCTCCTGAATGCCTGAAGACTGGTCTTACTGCGTAGTTCCTGGCTCATCTTGCCCCATATGTGTGGGCCTAAATATCTGATACTTTGCTTTCCATACTTAACAGTATTATATCTTGGAACAGGAAAATCACTTCGTAAGTTATAATGCTTATCTTGCTGAAAAAACGTGTTAGATACATGCTCTGGAGCTAGTGAATTTTTAACCTTATACATTAAAATTAGTATATCTTGTAACCGTCTGTTCTCAAGACTAGAGAGTCTTCCCTTCTCTAGGAGTTCCTCATACGTAGCGTTCCTATCATTATATATAGCACGTGATGCCCGTTCTTGCACCCTTTCTAATTTTTGTTGCGTCAGATGCTTTGCAAAAATGCCACACTATGTGAAAATATGTTAAGTTAAGTAGAATTGCTTATTTGTACAATTGTAACTTGGCTTCTCCGGGAATCTTTCTTATGAGACGTACTAGAACACCAACTTTCCTACTTGCCATTTTACATATATCACTTATATGAGTACTGAAACTAAGTTCATCATCTAGTGTTACTCCCAGTAACTTCAAGTCTGGTGATGATTTAATAACCTGTTCGTTAATCTTAATATTGATAGATGGACTATCCTAAAATTTGTTTTTCCTGCCTAATAACATTAACTTGTACTTGTCGTAATTTCCCTTCAAAAAGTTTTCTTTGTGCCATTTTGATATGGTGTGCCCCCCCCTCCCCATTAGTTAAAAGTTGTTCCACACAGTCAGCTGAATGCCCCTTTACATACAGCTGATGATCGTCAGCGTACATTGACAAGCTTGTATCATCTATTATATAGGTCATATCATTTTGAAAAATGTTCCACAGTAAGGGTCCAAATGATGACCCTTGAGGGCATCCTCTGATAGCATCCTTCCAACTGCTGGTGACTCCATTTAGTTTGAATCTGTTTTGTCGCTTGGAGAAATGTGATCTCACTAAGCTGAGTGATTTCTCTGAAAAGCAATACGCCTTAAGTTTATTTATCATGAGTGATGGATGTAGGGAATCAAATGCTTTACTCATGTCTGTTGACAGTATTCCAATAAATTGCTTAGAATCCACACCCAGCTTCCAATCTTCAGTCAGTTTTAGCAAAGTAGTTTCACAACTGTGTTTTTTTCAGTATGCCGATATGCAGGGATCGAGTTTGGAATCAATATGATTATTCACTTGTATGCTCATAATAGACTTGAAAACCTTACCTACTGCACTTAGCAATGTTATTGGACGATAGTTTCTTTCATCCAACCGGTCATCCTTCTTGTGGACTGGATTCCACTCTCCTTTCTTCCATGCTTCAGGCCATTCACCTTTCCTTACACACTCATCAAAAGAATTGCTAAGGAATCTGCTATGCCACTTTACATTCTAGGAGACATGGAGTCATAACCACAGGCCTTTCTGACGTTTAGTTTCTCAAGGGCTAACTTAACTGAATTTCTACTGAGTGGTTGAAAGCAGAAGTTCTTGAGGTTGCTCTTATTTGCATTGCAGATGTTAGTGAGGCTTGGATCACTCGACAAATCGTCCTCAGTTAAGCAATTGACACCTGGTCCACCTATATCATTGGCCATCGTAGAAAAGTAGTTTGCCAGAATATTTGCTACTTTTTCTTGGTCCTTCTCAATTCTCCCGTTTGCTTTAATGTGGATCTCGCTTATAGGCTGCTTCTTATCACTAAGATATGGCATGAAAGTTTTATAGAACTCGCTTGGCTTAGCTTTAAGGTCATCTCCCTTTTGTTTCCAATATTCTTTGATAGCTTTTCGTCTGTAGCTAGTAGCTTTATTTCTCCATATTCTTTTGAGCTCCCAGTTTTCCTCTGTGCTGCTTTGAGCATACTGCTTGGGAAATTTCCTTTTCATTTTGATTGCCGAAGAATTGGAATCTATCAGAATCTATTTGGAACATTCTTCTTGTCTATGGTATCCATGAACAAACAGTAACCTGCGAGGCCCTTTTTTCTTAAATTGGCCCTGGCAATCTAACGGACTAAAGCAGTTTTCCTTGTACAAGAAAAGGGCGCAAGAACTCATTAACTAAAAATCAACCAGTGTACGCGTCGTCGCTACTATTGCGGATCCTTATTAAATGGCTTAGACTTGCGGCCGATGTAACGCGCGCTCTGATTGGCTAAGAGCAAGCTCAGAGCAGGGCATTATACAGAGGTGATACCCACTGGCGACTATGGGTTATGCAAACCAGAAAGAGCTCATAATTTATCGCGTTGGTTCTTTTCACTTTTTGAAAATTCGAGCGCTTGAAAACGACTAAGGCTGATTGACAGCCAGAGAAAGACGACTCTGTTACAAAATTCGTTTGGAAGCCTTTTGAAACGCTAATAGAAATGTTTTGGTGAAGCCTCCCTCTCTAATTATTTCTTTTGAACTATCAGCTCGACAAATTTTAGAAAAAAATTCAAAGTGTTATTCACCAGCCTAGGTCGTCCGTATTGGGAAAAAACTAGCTATATCCTCCGCCCTGAGTTCCGCCCTCGGCCAACAGTCTTAAGCGGTATCCAAAACTTCGGGCATAGTTTATCCTCATAAGGAACACCCGACCGTTGAGTGACATAAATTTCTTGCCGGAATACGTAATATAACAATAATAATAATAATAATAATAATAATAATAATAATAATAATAGATTTATTAATCTCCTCATAAAGACTTTTCAGCTTAATTTACAATGTAAATTATCTTAAACTTAGTTTTCTAAAAGTACCCTTAAAATTGCTATTTTATTTTTAATTTAAATACATATAAATTAGTGATAGACTGAAACTTATTTGGGAGACTATTCCACAGCTTTTGGCCTCTGAAAGTAAATGCGGGCTGACCTGCAGCCGTCCTACAGAGTAGTATATGTAGGCGGTCCCTATTTCTAGTGCTGTAGTTGTGCATTTCCGATCTGGTTTTAAACTTCTGACAAAGATATGGAAGTGCAAGTCCATTTAAGCACTTAAATACCATGGCAGTATCCCTAGCCGCTAGTTGTTTAATGATTGGCAGCCACTGTAACTGCTTAAGAATAGGTGCAACATGATTAAATTTCCTCGTTCCAGAAACTACCCGGGCTGCAAAGTTTTGCACTGTTTGTAATTGGTCAATAGTTTTTCCTAATGATATTAGACCATACTGATGAACAATACAATAATTTACTGAATACAAGAGAATCAATTATAATGATCAACCTACGCCTATCAAACAGATATTTTACGCAACTTATTTGACAAAGGCTACCTGTACATTTAGAAGTTAATTGCGTTACATGTTCTTCGTACGTTAGATTACAGTCCATTGTAACTCCCAGGTTTTTCGCAGACTTAGATGATGTAATCTCCTTGCCGAGTAGTGTAATGCTTAGAACATCTGGTATCTTCGTCAGTATCTGCGGAGTCCCCAGAACCAGAAGTTTTGTCTTGTCCGGGTAAATAGATAGACTGTTCTTCCAACACCATGCAGTCATGTTCCGAAGATCTTCTATCAGCTGATCTGCCGCTAAGGTGGTATCACGTACAGGAAATGATAGGTATAACTGTGAGGCATCAACATAGTACTCTAACGATACTACCATAGGTACAGATGGTAGATCGTCGATGTGGGTATTAAACAATGCCGCTCCAAGATTGATCCTTGTGGTATACCATACGAGACTAGGCGGGATTCAGATGTTTCGCAACCAATTCTCACCGACTGTTTTCTTCCGGTCAAATAGCTTCTAAATCCTTCTATTTCTTCTTTAGAAATACTCATTGCACATAGCTTCTTTAACAAGGACATGTGACTAATGTTGTCAAATGCCTTGGAATTATCTAATAACACCAAGGCAGTGACTTGCTTGCGATCCATTGCATCCAAGGCTAGATCTGACGTCAATATATTGAGTGTGTCTGTCGAATGCCGTTTCTCATTCCCACTCTGGTGTCCACTTAGACAGTTTCCCCTTCTTGCTTATTCGGTGAATTGATTTAAGGCTACTCGTTCACATATCTTAGACAGGGCAGGTAACAACGACAGGGTCTACTCTCGTTGGTTACTTCCGCATCTCCACCTTCCTTTGAAATTGGAACAATTTCAGATTCTTTCCATCGTGAGGGAGGTACAGATGTCAAAAGTGAATTGTTTATGATTTCGGTCAAAATCGGGAGGATAGCCGGTAGAGCATCTTTCACCACTGCCATTTGTAATTTATCTTTCCCTGGTGCTTTATTTGAAGGAAATGACTGTACAGCCCTATTAATCTCGAAAGAGATAGCAGCTCAAAATTGAAACTCATCTTTTTCGGGTATAAAACTGACAGGGAGTTCCTGATGTGAAGAAGTTGGTAGACCATTGACTGATGCGAGACTTTTGGCTTCCTCTGCGGTACGTACTCCCACCTCCCTAAAGAATTCATTAAATTCCGTCGCAAGTTCTTTCATATCTCT